TATAAATCTAAATATATGTATGTACGACAAGAGGGTTTGAATACTTCCGAATTTTATTTATTTATATGCCAAGTCAAAGTGAAATGCACAAACAAGGGTCGAAAATATGTGTGTGAAAAAAAGATTTGACCTTCGCTGACAACGTTTGTCCATGATAGTCAAATGAAGCGTCCTACGGAAACTGATTAGCGCGTGTGAATATTGAAAAGATGTGGAGAAAAAACGAATTGAAAGAATTAAAATTATTAAAAATAAATAAATGTAAAATTACATTTTGTTTTTAAAAAACTATAAATTGGCTTGAGAAAAGAATTTCGAAAAGAAAATAATTTGTAATTCTACGAAAAATTTTCAAAAATATTTAATTAGCTATATTTGCGTTAAGAAAAATGTTTTCAAACTCAAACTGCAGTGTTTTACGTTTTACAAAATTTAACCAAAGCTTGTGTTTTCAATAAATTAAACAACAAGTATCGTCACTTTTAAACAATTGAATGATATCGGAAATACAGATTTTCCATTCATTCGGAAATACAGTTCAAAAAACTTAACGAAATTTTAAAATATCGACAATAATGGAAACTATTGGAAATTATTTAATGAGGACTGTGTTTAAGTTTAAAACTTATTTACTTATTTACTTGACGAAAGATTTTAGTTTGAAATCTGCAGTAAATTTTTTTAACATTAACCAGTTACTACGAATTACCCTTTTTTTAAGTATCATATACTTATCTACCACTTGGTATTATCAGAACTTCCATACTTTTTAACGAATTCGAGAATGACATTAAAATTGATTTAAGCCGAATGTTTTATTGTCGATGAGAATTCGAGAACTAAGCCGATGTTTAAAATTTTTAAGCCAAATGAGTTTTTCAAAACTGAACGAGCGCCTAAATCAAATTCAAACTATGCTATTTTTTGTTGTCGAGAGTCAAGCATATAAGATTTCCAATATTTGTTAACCAATGAAAGATTTTAAAACTTAACGAAACTTTTTAAGTACCCAAACTTTAATATGTGGTGCGTTAACGATAAATTATTTATTTGAAGAATGTGAAGAACATGAACGCGATTAGCATTTTTCGATCTCAACGTTTAGTTTTGGAAATCGCAGATATACTTATGAAATTTTTGTGAACTTAAACATGAGATTTTGTTAAATTTTTGTCCGTAAACTTAAAAAATTTATAGAAAAAGTAGTGAAAATTTCAGAAACTTAACAATTTGTGTTTTTAACTTTACGATTTCGCAAATATCATGACATTTAATATTTAATTTATTTATAAAAATGCGCTATACGTATTTCAAATTAACAAGAGCATTCAAAATTTAACAGAAGTTTCGAATGATTGAAAAATTTTTCAAACTTAACGAAAGTTATAAAGCTTATAGAAACTCAATTTTGTGCATTCTTTATTAAAATAACTGCTTTAACTTTTGTTATAACACTATGAATAGTTTTGAAAACTTAACGAAACATTTCAAACTTAACGAAAAAGCGTATAACTAAGCTTTTTACTTTTTTTTAGCATTTTATTAACGATTTGCTGTAATTGCACCACTAAACGAAAGTTTTGAAATTTGAAAAAAAATTTAAAACTCAACGAAACTATTTACAATTAACATATTCATATCGAATCAAATCTTATATTTCTCACGATTTCCTAAATATTTTCTAACTTATAAATACTTGTATACCTACGGAAAGTTAAATTTTTTATTTATATCCCAATATAATTAAAAAAATATTTAATAGCGTTGTAAATACAAAATAAAATGTCAATGCAAAAATTCAGGTGTCAACAACCTTTAAGTGTTTAATAGAATAGTTAAAGTTGATTAAATAAATTAATAACAAACTTGCGGAAAAGGCTCAACATAAGGCACTAATATATAAAAATATTTATTTAAAAAATTTTGAACCTTTACAAACAACAGTTATACGCAATAAATCTTGCGCTACAATAAAATGAAACGTTACACGTTCTCCGCTAATTATCCATACGTAAGCTGTCAAAAAAATATGATTTTCTTCTTTTCAATTTCACGCCTTTTGTGTTGTTGTTTACACTTGTGCGCTAAACTGTACTGAATATGTGAAATTTTTATTGTATATAAATAAACTCCCACTATGTATGTATGTGTATGTACCTTACGACTTGATCGTGTTATGCTTTTTATTCTGTTGTCTATAGAAATTATTAACTTTTCACGTCGATATGTCGTTGAGTGTGTGGCGCACGCGTAGCTAATAGAAGTTGTTGTAGTTCGAACCAAGAAAATACCGAAATAAATTAAGTTGCAATTCAAACACGCGCACATGCACACACCAATGCATAGTAGGGTGGAGCGAAAAAAAAAATTTTAACTCGAAATTTCCTTTAAAACTGAGTAGGCCGATGTTAAAAAAAAATTTTTTTTTAGCCAAAAATTTTCTTTTTTTTTATAATCTACAGATTTTACCTCAGGCTAAGCAAAAAAAATTTTTTTTTCGCTCCACCTTAATGCATATATATAATATAAATAAATCGAAAAATATAAATAAACAACAATAAATCGCTTTGTCGACGTATGTGCGGGCCAAAACGTACCCCCGAAAATACAGTGCTACAACACTTCATAAGCCAATAATTGTTTTAGTTATATACAATACACTCTTACAAATTTACATACATACTTGATTTGTGTTAAATGTTGTATTTTTTATGTCGAAAAAAAAAGAATTGTGCGCGAAAATCGTTTAGAATGTTTTTCTTGGCTGAAAGTCGCCCGCAGTCTACGTGCCACAGACGAGACGCTAGCACAATTGTGGCGTGTGGAATTTCGTAAATTGCGCAGGTGTTTTCAGCCAATAATTTGCAACTGTTTCATTAGCTAGTAATTAGCTGCAGGAAAAAATAAAAGAATACAATTTAAACAAATATAAACTCAATAAAACAAAAATTGAAACAAAACGACAACAAAAACTACACGCGTGTAAAATAAAGTAAGCGCACAAAATAGGAAACCAACTTAGTGCCAACCGTAATAGTGAATACACAAACGACAAACGGGCGAAGATGTCCCAGCAACCACCTTGGCCCATACGTAAAGGCATTTACCGTTCGAGCGGCCAATCGGACTTCGTGCCCGCGCGTTCGCCCAGCCCCATCGTCGAGATGCCGTTATCGCCACCGCCCACAATCAACAGCAACGGCGGCACGCCCATCAGCCGCTTTTCGCCCACCTGTCCGCTTTCGCCACCACCACAGCCCATACAAGTGATCGGAGGTCCACCAGGGCCCACCATTGCCACAATCAACGACAATGTGGCCACAACAAAATCGTCAACACTGTCCACCGCCGCCGCAACCGGTGCAAAGAAATCACACGCTCAGTCAGCAATGGCGTCCACACAGTCTGCATCTTCATCGTCGTCGCAAAATTCGTCAGCTGCGTCGTCTTCTACCACATCCTCATCGTCGTCGTCATCTGCTGCGCGTATGTCCGCCGCTGCTTCATCTTCGTCGTCGTCGTCGTCGTCTTCGTCCTCTTCGGCCGCGGCCGCTTCTCGTTCTGTACGTAAAAACTCTTGTCCACCCTTTCAGCATTTTAGCTCGCCACAAATCGCTTCGCTGCCGCCACTGCCACCACACGCCCACATACAAACACAGCAGCAGCTGCCGCAACAACAACAATTGTCAACACAACCAGCTGCAAACAACAATAACACGACAGCCGCCACCCACACCAGCACACAACACCTGAACAACAACAGAAACAACACATCCGGTACATACTCGAGCAATCCGAATCTCAGCAGCGCTGCAACAGGTGGCAATGCCATGAAGAATGTTCGCGAAATACCCATCGAGGTCGAACAAAACAAGGTACACAAGCATCGACTGAGTTGCAAGCTCTTTTTCTCTCTTTTTAATTTGAAGGGATGTAAATTTAAGTGTGTTTTTTTTTAGATATCAAGTTCGTTTAGATATTCTTGGTATCTTGTAGTTGAAATATTACAGATGTAATATTATCAAGTATTGATGGATTCAAATCTTTTTTTGATGATCTCGGTCTCCTTATCTTCTTACAATATATCGATTCCATTATATATCTTTTTATATCGTTTCTATAATTTAAACAATATGAAGTATGACAGTTCTTTGCAAAAAATTGTTTGTGGATCGTTCTAAGATCGAATAATAAGCAAGGAATTTGTTAAGTTTTATTTCAGCTTTGTTTTACCAAGACATTACGCAGGTTTTCAGAGACTTACGTGTACAGAAATTAAATCCTTTTATGTATCCAACCTAGTATAAGCACTGGATTTTGACTGGTAGCATATTGATTCTCAACGGTATTTCAACTAGTTCTCAACTTATCTTGTCGAAATTAATTTTTTATATTCATTATTGATCTTAAGTGCTATTATCTTTTATCAAAAACTTTTTTAAAGAGAAAAAAAATTTCTTAATATTTGAGAGAGTTAACTGGATAAATACAAATCGAACTTATTTTGTGGCATCTTTCGGGATATATGATATTTTAGGGAGTAATTCTGACGCTATACAGTTTTGGTAGGATAACAAGAGAGAGCAGATAGTAATCGTAAAATCTGGATTAAATTTCGATACCATCCAGGCGGAACCTCAACGAAGATTATCTACAAGCTTCTTGTGACAAGCATAAATCAATTAAAAGTTTGTTAATAATACAGTTTTGTTAACACAAATAAGGATAGATTAGTGTGCATGACGAATTTAAAATACTTTGAACTTTGTCAATTAACTGTCTATATTACCAAACTATTTGCATACATCCGTTATATATTTTATTAATGTATGATAAACGTAAATGTTGTGCCTTAAGTACTATCGTTGTACATCTACTGCTTATGAGAGCACTTACCTACTCCAAGCTATCAACAGTTTTAATACCAAACAGAACTATGTAATGCGTTCACCCTAAACTATAAGTCCTAACTAATAACTATATGTTTTTCAACATTTCAGGAAGCCCTCTCGCTACGCACTGGCGATATAACTCAACAGGCTAGCAACAATGTGGCCGCCGCCAGTATTAAAGTGCAAAGTGACACCTTCTCCGCCGACAAGAAAGCCATCTCACAATCGCAACAATCACAGACGATGACCTCGAACGGCATTATTAGTCAGGAGAAACATATGTCGTCTGCTTCACAAGCGAATTACACAATGACCCATAAGGGTGTCTCCAGTTCGGGCAGCAGCATGATCTCGTCCACCTCATCGGCGCTCATCAAATTGCACGATCTAAAGTTGGATGATCTGAAAGCGCTAACATCTGGCAGCGGACAGCGAGAAATCGAACAGGCTATCGCTAAATATTCCCGAGTATTAACATCATTCGTAAATACGCTGGAGGATTCGAAGGCAGCGCAAGAAAAATCACTGTATTTGGAGAAAATCAATGAGGTCATGCAGCGCGCTTGGGCTGTGCCCACACACGGACACGAGCTCGGCTATAGTTTGTGCAATTCATTGCGTAATAGTGGCGGTTTAGATTTGCTCATGAAGAATTGTGTACAGGGTGATATGAAAATCAAGTTCTCATCGGCCAAATTATTGGAGCAATGTCTAACCACAGAAAATCGTACACATGTCGTGGACAATGGTCTCGACAAAGTGGTGAATGTGGCTTGTATGTGCACAAAGGAACCGAACACAGAGCATTCGCGTGTGGGTACCGGCATACTGGAGCATCTATTCAAACACTCGGAGGGTACGTGCTCGGATGTCATCAAATTGGGTGGTCTCGATGCTGTGCTCTTCGAATGTCGTACAAATGATGTGGAGACTTTGCGTCATTGCGCTAGTGCCTTAGCCAATTTGTCACTCTATGGTGGTGCGGAAAATCAAGAAGCTATGATCTTTCGCAAAGTACCCATGTGGCTATTCCCGTTGGCATTCCATGACGATGATAATATAAAGTATTACGCCTGCCTTGCAATTGCCGTACTCGTGGCGAACAAAGAGATCGAAGCTGAAGTGCTTAAATCAGGTTGTCTCGATTTAGTGGAACCGTTCGTCACCACACACGATCCCTCCGAATTCGCGCGCTCCAATTTAGCGCATGCTCATGGACAAAGCAAACATTGGCTTGAACGTTTGGTGCCAGTATTGAGTTCGAACCGTGAGGAAGCACGCAATCTCGCCGCTTTCCATTTCTGCATGGAGGCGGGCATTAAGCGTGAACAAGGCAATACAGAAATCTTTCGCGATATTGGCGCGATCGAAGCTCTTAAGACTGTAGCGAGTTGCCCGAATGCGATCGCATCTAAATTCGCCGCGCAAGCGCTACGTCTCATCGGCGAAACCGTGCCACATAAACTCTCGCAACAAGTACCGTTATGGTCGGTCGAAGACGTGCAAGAATGGGTGAAGCAAATTAATTTCGGTCAGTTCGTAAAACAATTCGAGGAGTCACAAGTTGATGGTGATCTCTTGTTGAAGCTGAATGAGGAAAATCTACGCGATGATATTGGCATCGCGAATGGCATACTATTGAAGCGTTTCGAACGCGAGCTACAAAATCTCAAACGCATGGCCGACTACTCATCGAAGGATACGGCGAAGATGCATCATTTTTTGGCTGAAATCGGTTCAGAGTACTGCACATATACATATGCAATGCTAAATGCCGGCATAGATCGGAACTCGCTGCCACAGCTGAATGAGGACATGCTCATTGCGGAGTGTGGCATCAAGAACTCCATACATCGGCTACGTATACTGAATGCCGTAAAAAATCTGGAAAACTCATTACCCAGCTCGTCGGAGGAGAATATGGCAAAGACGTTGGATGTCTTTGTCAGTTATCGGCGTTCGAATGGCTCGCAGTTGGCCAGTTTATTGAAGGTAGATTTCCAATTCTACAAATAGTTTACGAACTCAGTCTAATTATTAACTCTCTTCTCGTCTCTTGTTCGGCAGGTTCACTTGCAGTTGCGCGGTTTCTCGGTGTTCATCGATGTTGAGCGCCTGGAAGCGGGCAAATTCGATAATGGACTGCTAAACAGTATTCGACAGGCGAAAAATTTCGTTTTAGTATTAACACCAAATGCGTTGCAACGCTGTGTGGATGACGACGATGGCAAGGATTGGGTGCATCGTGTAAGTATCAGAGCGTCAATAATGCTTCGGTACCGTTATTTTATGTTTCAATTCAATTTACAGGAAATCGTCGCCGCGTTGAAATCAAATTGTAATATTATTCCTATAATTGATCAACAATTTATGTGGCCCGAGACCGATCGCTTGCCCGAAGATATGCGCAGCGTTTGCCATTTCAACGGCGTCACGTGGATACATGACTATCAGGATGCCTGCATCGATAAACTAGAGAGGTAAGTTATCACTATATGCAAAGTCAGTATTTATTACTACGTCGGAGGGGTAAAAGGTTCACGGAATGAAGCAATTTAAGTTGTTAGGGTGGAGATCATTCTTACTAAATTCCAGTTAGAGCTGCAGTATCCCTTTAAAACTTGACTTCAATTAACATTTTTATTAAAATTGGAGACTTTGCCAGACAGACCCAGTTATGCTTGTTGAAAACTTGAAATATGATCAAAGTTGTATAAAGTGTGTTGAGTATAACCAAAACTTACCAAAAACAAACACCACAGATTTTGACAAAATACAAGTGACATATTAAAGGAAACTTTTGCTTTAAGTAAAAACGTCATAATGGATACGAAGAATTTTGACTCAAAAGAGTCATAGAAAGCATTAACATCCGAGCTAAGGCTAAGGCTAACAGATCTTGAGCTTGTTTTGAAGTTTTATAGCGAAAGCATCCGTTTTTTGAGTAGTACCCAATAATAACAGAGGGGAAAGACGGTATGGCATGATGGGCTGTGTAAATTGGTTTCAACGCCCGCGTTCCATAGCTCCTAGAACCTCGCTACTACTGGACACTATAGTCATACATTCAAAATAATGTCCATTGTCGCAGTATTCAAGGTTCACTTACCATTTCTACGTAGTGTCGTACTACTATAATCAGCTCAGGGATTAAAAAATCCATACTTTATGGCGAGCCACAGAGAAAGCACTGATATAGGATTTATTCAGTTTACTCACAATACCACAAGAAAGGTTAATTTTTGTGAAAATTTCGAAGCGATCGTATTCTAAAATGTTTTCGTAGTAAATATTCTTAAATAACGCTTATTGTACTTTATGTAAAAAGACCGTTTTATAGGAGGTTGACACAGTTGTAAATTGAAATCGAAAATTTTAAAATTGTATGCTCATTCCGCGTGCTTTTTGCACCGCTCTTCGCACATATCCACCTCAATATACAATATTTCAATTTCAACTAATATGGCAGCACTAAGTACATTTTTATATTAGTGTTTCCGATATTTATGTTCTAAATATTATTACCTAACCAAATTTGCTTGCAATGAAAAATACAAATGAGTATAAAAACAAAAATTTTGCCAATTTTTCAATATTTTTATCCACAAATTTTCTTGTGATTTCGAAAATCATGTTACCGCCACGCCAGATGGATATCATTATAAGTTTCCAAAAAGCGGATTAATGCACTTGTGACTGAAAATAATCACCGGCTTTTGCCTGAAAGGTATACATACATTTTTCAAGTATTTTTTTACTTATACTTTCGCCAAATTTTCTTACGCAACATCATACATTTCGCAGTGGCAATGAGTTTGCGACGCATTATTGCACTTTCATTTGCTATAAAATCTACTATAATCCTTATAAAAAAATATTCTTTATCGTACATACATACATATGTGGAATATAAAATTTTGTAACTCATGTTGAACACGCGTTATGGAATTGACGAGGATGCAAAATTTGTCGGTTACTTCTATGCATGCTATAATAACTAAAAATATTGGACTCAAAAGCAAAGTCTCGGAGATAATACGAATTCGAGTGATTTTTTACTCTAATACTGAAAGTAAAACTCTTCTCTACGCTCAATACTAAAGCAACTCTGTGATGTACACACACATAAACATACTCACAAACATCACTTGATATCAAAATTTGGAGCATATTTTTTATTTTTTATTTTTTATTTAAAATATATTTAAACCCAAATCACTTTAACCAAAACTTTTGCACAGAAAACTTACTTAAATTTGTATGGCGTTGCCAACTTCACTAAAACGTATATTCTCGTTTCTCTCCTTCCCCACACGACAGATTCATGCGTGGTGAGAAGAATTTGGATCGCCTTGTGGGCATACCCAGCACACCGGGCTCGGTGACCTACCAAAGAATGCACAGCAATGACTCCGACTATCAGCAGAGCGTGGGCGGCGGCAGCGTCGGCGGCGGTGTTAATGGCGTTGTATGTGTTGGCGGTGCCGGTGGTGCGGCGAATAGCAGCGGACAAGGTGGGGCACAACAAAATACGACAACTACAAATACAACAAATACGAATACATAGAACGGGGCGATCCAGCGTTGAAAAGCCGAAAGAAAAACTTCAGCTGAGCAAATGAGTCGCCTGGATTGCCCCGCAATATGAGATCATACATATGTACATAAATATGTATGGTATGTAGAGATATATGATTATGCAGAAAATTAAAGGAAAACAGAATGAGGAAAACAAAAACAAAAAGCAATTATCATGAGAATATGATCTGCAAAATAAGATTGTTGAATGTTTATAAGAGCATAGTGATTATGCGAACGCAAACTCTTCGAATATATACAAGCCTATATATATATACACACACATATATATATACATATATATATATATATATATATATATTTATTAGTAGATATTAAATTTAGCGTAGATTTAGCAGAAGAAAAGAAAATATTCTATACAAAAACTCCACAACCGAACACCTCTCTTCTCCCAACTCGAACTTACTCCTTACTATTTGATATTCTTAAAAAAATTTTGTTACTCTTACAAATAGCTGTTACTCACTCAACTCAAAATAATTTCAAAATTTCGCGCGCGCGAATCACACTACTTAAAATGTAGGTTAGCTTTAGTAAGACGTAAACAGTTAACTTAGTTATTTATGTTTGTATTATCGTACTACTAAAAAAATCTGAAAACTCAAAATGCAAAATGCAAATTTTAATGAACGTTCATATTTAATTAATACTAATCACAAACTAGCAGCTAATCACCAGGCAAATAGATACCGGCAATCCCCCTCACCGGCCAGACAACGGATAGGCGGCAGCTGCGGGCCGCTCGGCAGCAACGGTCAACTGAGCATGTTCGGGCGTGGTTCGAAGCGCAACCTAATAACGCCTTACCGCACACAACAGACAATGGCACAGCCGAAGGCGCTGCTCATGGGTGGTTCCATGCAAAACATGTCACCGACTGGCTACCGGCCGCCACGACGCAGCTCGGCCAGTGGCATTAATAATGGCAATAGCAATGGCGTGACAGCCGGTGCTGCCGCTAACTATCGCAGTCACAGCGTCGATGAATTGCTGGACACCACCGACGGTTTGGGCTCCAACGATCGTATTGCCGATATGGCAGCACGCGTTACGGCCGGCAGCACAGCGCTGACCAACGCCAGTTCGACGAGCACACTCCAACCGGGCAATGATTACGCCTCATCGGTCGGTTCGCTGTCCGAGTTTTCCAATGAAGCGCCGCAAACGGTCGCTAGACGTGAGAAGAGCGCAAATATACCACCCAATGCGCAGCATCGTAAATCGCGTTCACTCGATCATTTTCTCGACGATAAGACGTTGGCGTTGGTGGTGGCGTCGAAACCACAACCGGCACCCATGGAAGGTACACAGAGTATGCAGAATCTTGCCACACCCGCAACGCCCGATCTCAAACGCGGCACACGCACACAACCGTTGACGCAACGCGGCGACAGCGTGTCAACATCCAGCGCCGCAACGACGCCCGAGCCTGCCGATATCGGCGTACGGAAGACGCACGGCGGTGGCGGCATGCTGCCGTTGACGCGTCGCAGCCCGGAGGGTGTCAGCTCGACTGATGATGCACAATCGTTGCGCAGCAGCAATACCTCGTGCGGCAGCATGTTTAGATCGCAGGTGCGCGCATCGGCGCATACGCATCGCGGTAGTCAGAATAGTGGCAAAACGTCGACGTCATCGCTGAGTAGCAATGCGCCAGGCAACAACACGCACAGCACCAACAACAACAACAATGCAAACAATAAAACCATTCTGAATCGAACAATTAAAAAAGTTCGTTCGCTGATGAAAAAGTAAGCATCACACACACAAACACTCTTACACACTCAAATATACACGCCAATAAACACTTAACTCGTATATCCGTTCGTATCAGTGAAATTTGCGATCTCAATCAAAATCAATATCGAAATGTTTGCGCCAATCAGTTCACACAATCTACATAAATATGTTGAAACCGTAAACAATCAATCGTATGCATTCGTGTGTCACCATATTATCGACCAATCAGCAGTTAACTTGTCTCGCTCACTATCACACTGTCTCTCGCTCTCTCCCGCTTTACCTTCTTCTAATATAACTGCTTCATAAAATGCATTTTTAACTTTAACTGTTTCTCATTAGTGTCTTGTTATTGCCATAACCATCTCGTTGTGCTTACATACATACATACTATACATATGTTAATCATATCCACTCACTTTCATGCTTTTAGTAGTTAATGTAGTTAGTATTTAAGTTGTAAGTAATAATACTATGGCGCTTGTCATCTTGCGAGTGTTATGCCGCGCTTAGATTTTAGACCTGATAGCTTTAATTCCCGCTTCTCAAATACAACCCTACAGTTGCAGTAGCTCAGCATGTGTTGAGTGACTTTCTCGCGAGATTTTTACGGAACCTCGAACCAGCTTGGTGAGGTGATAGACACGCGTCTAGAATGTAGAGATCGCTTGATCAGACGTAAGAAGTTAGATAAGTGTCCCAAACTCCGGTGTATTTTCACATAACGAAAGCAACATTAAAAGTTTAAGACCTTGCTGCGTGTATAGGTTGGGAATAGAGAAGTAGATTTGTAAATCTTTTACTAAGATTATATTCCTTCGTAACTTCTAGCCACTAAAAAACTAATTTTTTAATTTAGTACCCATATACATATCTATAACACCAGATTCCTAACTATTTGAGTTTCATATCCAACTTTTCGAGATCTTTTAGACATATAAAGGTACGATAAATGGTTCTTTGTGCTTCATCATTAATATAAAGTAAACGATAGAAAAGTTAAGAATCGATAATTGAGCTGCTTCAACTCCCAATTACATCAAAAATTCTCTTCAACATTATCTTAGCCATTAAAAAAATATTCACATAACCTGAGCAACATAGGCTTACTCAATTGAAATTTCACAGAAACCCTGTAAACACTCACAAGAGTAGAGAGCTATGCTTCGGCTAATGCCGTCAGATCGGAACCTTATACAAAAATTTATTCAATGCTTTAGTAATGTAGTCCCAATGATAGTTACAATTCTTAGAATACTTCAACGCGAGAAAGAGATAGAAGATCTCACAAATAATTATAATTTCAGCACATTTTCAGTCCATAAACAATTGAAACTCTGCTCATTTTACGCTCAGACAAAACTATACACTTACATTACTGCTGAAAAAATCTATCAATGGTGATTTATAAACTATATATTCAATTTTCTTTATAAAAAAAATAACGCATCTAAAGTTTCTTAGCCTCAGCTTTGCGCTACAAACATAACGAATAATTTATCTAGTGCCTCGCGTTTTGCAATAAGTATTTTCTTTCTTCAAAAATAATTTAACGATAACAAAATTTTCTTACTAATCTTTATTACAAACTAACAGTAAAGTATGGTAGCATAGGAGATTGCACAGTTGCGTAAGGATATTTCGAAATAATTATGAGCTAACGTGACGTCGGCACAACAGCTGATTTTGACAATTGCGCTGTGGAGACGCCTTTGTATGCTCTCAATTTTACAAAGAGCCAAGTTGCTGCTAATTTTTTTGAAAATTAGTTGTTGGTGTTTTCGATTTTTAAAGTACGAGTATGAATATTAAATGCTTGTATGCCAGCATGTGTGCGAAACCATGACAATTAATACAAACATATAAACATAGAATTCGAGCGAGTGGCAGCCAAACTAACCGAAAAGATCTATTTGCCTTGTGATTAGTAGGGTGGTTCGTATTAACTGTATGCATACAAATTAAATAGCTATGCAAATTTTTAATTTTCTCACAGAAAATGCTAGTTTGTACGTTAATTAAAATAATAAAAAAATATAAAAAATTTAATACGACAACAAAGCACACGTACTAAGTTAGTTATTAAAAAATTTAAATAGTTTAAAGTTGATCCCACTGTCCGTTGTCTTTTTTAACTATATATATTTTTTATTGCTTAATTTTTTGTAAATATGTATGCCGTCCGTTTGTCAAGAACAAAGCAAACCTCCAAATGTAGGCAGAGTTAGTTCTAAATATTTACATAAATTCAATGAATTTTATGCTAACAATACAACAATAAAAAAACCAATATAGGCCTTAAGTTAAATAATAAAAATTAATATTAAACTTTAATGTTAGATAAAAACCAAGAATATATTATTTTAACAAAAGTTTATTACAAACAAAAACATAAAAAAATGCAAACATATTTTACATAAGTTAACTCTGTAAGTGATATTTTTTTTCTATAAACTTTAATTAACATACGCTGTATATTGATTTTTAATTTAAACGTACATTGAAAATGTCTATAAAATAATAATTTTACATAATAATATTGTTTTTAAAAAAATATAACCTACAAATTTACTGCAAAATACCCATTGGCTTTAAGTTAAAATAATAAAACAGAAAATACAACAAAAAAAAACAAAAACAACTTGCATTTATTGAAAAAAATATATTAAAAAATATTGCGAAAGAAAAATTATAGCTTGAGAAAGCGGGTGGTTCAGTGCGTTTCTAGAAAATGTATACGGGGTTGAAATCATAACTTATTCATTAAACATAATTACCGTTAGCGTTAGTTAGAAAAAAATCAATTATTCGCTTTTGGTTTAATGTGTTTTTAATAGTTTGTGTATTGTTTTAGTTACAATTTTTTTACATTGATTCACTTCTTTTGAAATAAAACTTTTTTTTAATTAGAAAACCTAATTTTTTTTAATGTTTAACAATTCTTATCCGAAACTAAAATATTTTTAACACAATTTATTATTTTTGAGGTTTTTTAGTAGAAGTTTGTAGCATTTGTTTTATTATTATTGTTCTCTGTTTTTTTTTGTGTTTTTTTTTTTGTATTGTGTTTCAAACACTTTATTTTCTGTAAGTTTTATTGTAGGATTCTGAAATAATCGACAAGTTTCTTTAAAACCACCCAAAATTCATGATATACATATGCATATGTTTTTTAGTTTATTATTTTTTTATATTAATAACATTTATTTTGTCTAGTGGTAAGCATAGCATGGGCCCACATAATCACTTCACATAGATTTATGCTTTGAAAATTATAATTTATAATATATTTGTGTTCAAAATTCTGTTTCAACTGCTTACACTTAAGGTTTTGTGTTTTAATCACTTTGTGCACTAAAACGCTTTGTTTATGTAACTCACCTCTTTTGTTATTTTAGCAACAGAAAATTTCCGCAATATTAACTATTTTAGCTTATTTAATTTAAACTAATTAATTTACATTCATATGTAAACTTTCTTTAACTCACTATTGGTTTTGTTTTTGTACGTATACCAAAAATGAACAACTTTTAAAATTTTTTTAAATTTTCGTGTTTGTTATTTTTAAAAATTTTCGTTTATTTTTTCGTAGACCATAAGAGAGCATCAATAACTTGTTGCGCCTTTTGCCTGAAACCGTCGTCGTGCACGCCCATTTCAACGTGTTTGTCTTCTCCAACGCAACTACATCCCAATGTCACCTAACTTGGATTATCATTACTGAGCACTATGTGATGTGTCTCATAACGCATACTTATATATGTACATACAAACATGCATTAGCGCTAAGTGCTAGTTATGAAAACAAAATCATCGGCAAAACTTTAACAATTTCGTTTTAAACACGAAATACCAAAAAACAAAAATTAAAACTTAGCAGCAAATGAAATGGAATAAATGGCGCTTTATCAAAACCGTAACCCGACCGAACTAACCAATTGTTGTGATTGGTTGTCATTATCAACAACAATCAATCTATCTATTTTAAATTCATGTTTGAACGTGTACTGCGTTTTTGTTGTATTCGTTTAATTAGCTGTTAACAAAACAATTAACTCGTAAGCACAATGTCAACTTTTAACTATTTATTATTAATGTCACTTTTCCAAAAAGGAAAACAAAAACATAACAAAGCAAAAACTAACATAGTGTTAGTGCATAAGAGAAAATTTTCGACAATTAAATTAAACTATAAATCGCTACTAAATTTTCAACTTTGTTTTAAACTTATTTATTGTTTGTAAAATATTTTAATTTCACACTTTCTTGTTTTAATCATTTTGCACTTGCATTTTCTCTATCTTTCTCTCTGTGTCATATAAAATCACCAATGTTTTGCACACATCAAAAAAGCAAGTGCTGTAAACTAATTATGTTATATTTACTCTGTAATTACACGCGCATTTAGTAACGACTTAGACGACGACGAAATACGTGATTTAATATTAACAAAAACAACAACACCATCTTCCGGCAGAATTATATTTTGGTAGTATCATACAGATTATAAAATATGGACGACCGGCACGTGCAAAAGCGAAAAAAAAGCAGTTGACCGACTAATTGCAAGTATTTGTATTTGGAACAGACGTTTCCAATTTCCTTTTAAGCGCCATGGAGCAAGCGTCTTGTGCAGCTTTTGTCTCGCTTACAAAAGCAAATTCGAAGTATTCAAACTCCAGCTAAAGCATAACTTTTAAAGGTTCAATGCGCGACAAGGCACAACTCATAGTGCAATGATAAGTGTTAGCTATATATTTAACAAAATTATGTCTACCGAAATCACCCTAATCTAATTTACTAACGAAAATTGTTTATACTATTTTAAAATTGTAATTGTTAAGAATTTTCGTACAACGCTTTGTAAAAATGTAAAATTATGAATTCAATTTTACGAAACACACAACGTATCGAAATAAATGTTGAAAGTATTATACTTATACATTTGTGAATTTAGTTGATTTAACCGCGGCACAGCAGGTAAGAGTAATCAAAGCATGTTCAAAACAAGGTTTTTATAATTTTCAAATTGCGAGGCAGAAGCGATTAGCACAAGCACAAACCTCCACGCTGCACATAGTTATTCACTTTTTACATTACTATGTAATAAACAAGTTAGGAGAGCAACCAAAAATTGCTTTTGACAACTTTGTTAAGTATAAAAAATAACAGCCGGATATTGTTTAAATTATTTGTTGCAACAGCTGATTTCGAAAGAAGTCTCACCTCAATTGGCAACTCAAAGTTAAAGACTTTAGCGTTGCCAACTGCACTTTCATATAGAAGCGTATAACATTTTCTAAAGAAACCCTTCGTACAAAAGAAGGAATTTATATTTCCAGTTTCAAATAAAATTGTAGTTGATTTTATTATAATAATTAAATTAGTTTTCAATGAAAAGTTTGTCGTGAGTCAGGGTAGTTATTTTAAAACACATAATACTTTTGGAAGAGAAGCATATCATAATATACCTTCTCTGGTTTAAGTGAATTAAAATTTAGTTAACAGATGGATTTATGAATATAATACCAGGGAACGTATTTTGTATACTTAAATATATGGTATGCGATTAATTTTAGCATATGTACAGAGTTTTAGATATTGAGACATTAATGCGAACAAAATATTAATTTCTCTTGAACATATGGCAGCATTACGCATAAACTTGCTTATATTCCACATTTATCATTTTTGTTTTGTTTACGCCTTTCGTAAAATAAAACTTAATTTGTAAGATTTACTATTATAAAATACATTAAATAAAATTTAGGCAAAAAAACAAACTAACTGAAAATAATGTCTGCCGTTAAAGTTGATAAAAATTCTCAATCGGGACTTAAACGAACAGTTCCCGAGGGCACAGTAGAGGAAGCACTTGAGCTAAATAAACTTTATGGTATGTTAAAGTAACTCCAATTGCTTATAGTTTATTTTAAAATAACGTTGTATTAACTTTAGACGATTTACGTAAGCAGCTTTCTTTGCCACGCACTGACCGCTTGGGCGGGAGAGCGCTGGCTACTTGGGACCCGGACGAAAAAGCGGTGCACGTGCTACGTAAAGATGGCAAATTTGGCAATTTTGGCTACAGTCATGGCGGTCGTTTATATTTAGAATTTTATGAGGCGTTATTTCTCTTAGAAATGGTATGAATTTAAACTATAAATAAAAACTTGTAGCAAATAAATTTATCTGCTTACAGAATCGTTTGCAATTGGAATATCATACAATGATAATGTCAATTGAACAAGCTTATTTACTGCTTTTGGGTGAGACAACTACATCAAAATGCAGTGAATATCTTGTATATGCACATCTCACGCGCATTGGGTACATTCTAGTGAAGCATCAAAATATTCCTTTCTACGATAACATCGAACCAACCGAGGCAGATTGTGCTTGGGCACTTGCCTTAAATGTCATTAATAATCGTGCGATACCCGAAAATGTAAAGAAGTCTCCACATTTCGTAAAAGTAAAAAAGGAAATGAAATACGTTAAGCAATGCATAATCAAACAGCAGGTACAAAAACAATTAAGCGAAGCAGATTCATCCTCCATAAATTTCAATGGCAAAGTCGTATCTACGGGTAAACGAAAAATCACAATTGACGAAGCAGAAAATCTCCCAGTAGCGAAACGACGATGTCTAGAGGTAGCATGTAATCAAAAAAGCTTTCTGAATTGTCTCAAAGATGAACCGGAGTACAAACAATTTCAAGCAACATTCGCAAAATTCGACATTATTCAAATGGACGATGCCACCATAAACGCAGAGGAGGAGGTGCGCACTTTGCATATAGCTTTCGATTTGTACCTGCATAATGATGGATTCAAAAAGAGATCACCAAAGCCACCAACCTTCCGATTACTGATATTAGGCGTACATGAGCCATTCCCTACACATTCAGAAATAAAAAACCTCTACAACTTGCAAAAGTACCCAGTGCCTATTTTAGTAGTAACAGTCGGCGAATCCAAACAAATACAAGCATTTGTATATTATTTTAGTTGAGTATGTTAAAGTTAATGAAAATGTACATTAGTTCTATATTTTGTCTACATTGTAAAAAATATTATAAGTTATTATTATATTTTTTAAAAACAGCTAACCTGTCTGATACATTTGCTTTGATATTAGCATATATTATTATCAGTTTCCGGTTGAAAAATGCAAAATACCCCGCCAAATATATAGTATCTTACTAATATACTAGCGCTAATCAGCTGTGTGACAGAGTTGCATTTCGTATAATAATAACTTTTGCATACACAAAGGTTTGTTCGAACACGCTATAAGTATTTTTATATTTTGTTGTAATTAGACCTTATTAATAAATTTTTATAAACATAAGAATTATAATTTAGTTAATTTCTCATTTATTTACTTTTATTGTTATGTGCATAAATTTGGTGGATATTTTAATTTCTGTGATCATTAAAGTTTTTATATTCGAATATACTAATATTTATCAGAATTTCCGGTTTGGGAATTTCGAAATGAATAATTATAAAAATGCAAACGTATCTACAGGATTATGAAATTATATAGCTGAATGGCAGGTTTTGTTATATACATACAAATATATGCGCAATTCGCTTTCATTCGGTTCTAGAAATTATTTTACATACAATTTTTAAAATGCAATAATTATTTAACTAAACGTTAAAAGTTATTAATGTTGTTCCATTATTTCTGCTAAAAATATTCTTAAACTCCTTAACTTTTCAATTAGGCAACATAAATGGCAACGATTGTAATGTCATTCAAGATTATTTATTTTTATTCAAAAACTATTTAATTTTTGCCAACTTGTCAATTATTTCAAACAAAAAAACAACTAAAAACAAAATTTATTATTATTGTTTCCGACACGATCTCCTTGAGTACTGCAAATTTTCTTCATTGGCGTGGGCTGAAAATAAACGAAATTCGCTCGTGCGCCGTAAATAAACAAATTAACGCATAAGCTCGTGTATTTTCTTGCAAGAGTTGTGTGCAGGCATAAAAAGTTTTAGTCATTTTTAAACATTCACCGTGAGCACAAGTGCCTGTAGTGTTCGGCTTAACCAATTGGGTACCGATTTTCGCCAAAAGCGGAAAATTTGCGTGACTATAGTACACAATAATTACAACGGAGAAATTTGTTCGTCGAAATCGTTAAAGAATTCCCTAGCATTGAGAAGCAACAGCTGAGCACACGACTGACCGTCCAGGCGAAATTCCAAAGGCGTGCATAAACATTGCTGAAATATTACTCAAACTAAACGCAAATCACAAAAACTACATTTAATCATCATGGTAAGTGAACCAAGTGAATTTGTGTAGTCTTGTAACTCAAGCAAAACTTTGGATTTTTTTACTGTTGCCTCAAAAGAAAAATGCTTAACCTCTGGCAAAACAACACTCCTTTTAACCCCATTTGATTTGACATTGTCCTACTAAAGTGAACTGTGATTCATTATTGGATTTTTCATAAACAATTAGATTTAGTATTGTGGGGTAGGGTTGAAGTAGAATATGCGTAGAAAGTAGCCATAAGTACTTATTGTACTTGTCAAAATAAAAGAGATTTTCTCACAACGCTACGAGCGTTCATCACTCGCTATTGACAACGACCTTGACCCTAATCGTAGTCGTAGTTGTCACGATGTAGATATAAGCAGAAATATGCGTGTGTATGTGTGTATACATGTGTGTAGTAGAGAAATGAAAACAGAAAGTTGTTGCTCTTTGCGCGTGTAAGCAATTACCTTAAAATAATGTACTAAATATTTTATTGTTTATATTACGAAATCAAGCAGTACTATACTACAATATATATGTATATCAAACATAAGTGCATAGTTCGAAATTTTTTATGCTTCTTTTATCGATTAATATGATAAGGTAATCTCTTTAAGACGGTACTTTGGAAAGTTGAGGCCAATAACTCTCAAATATAGTGATATTTACACATACATATACATGCATATTTTTCAATAATAAATATAATCTAAAAACATTAAAGGGCAAGGTCGGATATATAGCAGACTTGTCCAATGTGAAACGACCACTACTACGCACAATTATTTTTTTTTTTGTTTTTCCAAACAAAATTAGATGCAAAGATGTGTGAGTGGACAAGGCTTCAAGAATTCGTTAATTCATTATTTTGACCCTTATTCATGGGTAGAAGGAAGTCTGTACAGTTTTGTAGCAAATTATTCCTAAAAAAATTTTACGTCGAAACTTGATTTGAAACCGAAAAAAATTCCTGTGTTGTTTATGTGGGAAATTGAATTTTTGAATGAGCTATTGCACTTAAAACCTTTAACCTATGCCGCCAGGTTCTTCATTTAGCACAGAGAAAAAAAGTAATATACCCTAATATACAAACATTCCACATATTAATGTTAAATTTTTTAGTGAGCCAAACAACAGTTGGGTAGAAAAAATTTAGTTGAAACACAGTTACGATTGACAAAAATCAGTTGTTATAATCAACAGCCACCATTGAAAAATCAGCTGTTATTTGTATATCCGTTGGACCAGCAAGAAGTCAAAAGTTTTAACTTCAAAAAATCAAAAATTTTAATGTTAATGTTTTATCTTTGAGGGAGTATTCATTGAAAGTGCAATTTACAATAAATTTAGACTATACTAATTAAATATTCAATAACTGACGATTAATGCAAATCAAATTCACACTTAAGCAATGCTTGGCAAAGCTTGAAACAACTCCATTCACGTCGTTTTGGGATATCTCAGAATTAGAAATCAATAAAACTTACTTAATACTTTATTTAAAAAAAAAAATATGTCTGGCACGCCTTTATGGATATATTATACATACATTTATTTTTAAGATAGCGCTTTGAATATTTTTAAATTCTAATTTTACTCTACTATTCTCGTTTTTTGCAAATTTATTTGTTGATGTATGCCTATTATTTCCAAATTCTAAGTAAATTATCGAAAAAATTGAGTTGTGCTAACCATGCTGGACAGTTTGTTCCATAGGATGCTATGTACTTCTGATCCATGCCAAAAACACAATTTTCTATTATTATCAAATATCCATTTTCAAGCATTATTTGCTCCAAATGTGAAGATCGTGTACAACAAAAATAAACCAATACCACGTAAATTATATTAAGAGCAAGTGCACTCTATTAAAAGAGGTTTAATTTTTATAGTTCATAAATAGAAAGAAAACAAACAAATATAGTACACTCACCCGCAAACACGCAACAAAATACAACTTCCAAACAGTTACCTCGTCATTGAAACAACAAATCCGTCCTTTCAAAAATTCCAAAACCATTTTTTCTACCTTTCTACACTCGCATATTTCTCTTTTTATTTTTATTAGCAGCGATTTACATACGAAAATAGTCTACCAAAAAAAAAAAAATAAATAAAAACAAACGTACAGAGTATACAAAATGATAAATAACACAAGAATATACAATTCGAAGAGAAAGGGATAGCTGATTGTTTGGCTTACTGTTTTGCGAAAATATACCAAAGTGGATTGTCTACATTCCTGGAGTTTTGACGTCAAAGTGCTGACTTTTAAATATTCGGGGTTTTTCGGTTTGTTATTTTTGCATAAATTAGTCGCTAATTGCGAATCATCAATAAAACGACCGTTAGTAAGTTGGTTGTTCCGAAAGTCAAAAGCCATACCACAATGTCACCAACTCGCGCTCGAAAGTGTTATGGCGATGTTATTCCAACAACAACTCAATTCAACTTTTGCACTTCGTAGTTTTATTACGTTGAAATAGCATGCCGTCATATGTTCCGACACCATTCTCCCGATCGTGCGTTTATTCGTAAGCCGGCAAGCGAACTTTGTTGGTAAATTTACATAATTTTTTTTTGCTTATTCAGCATTTGTTCGATTGTTTTTATAAAAGTAAACAAAAACATAGCGACTTTTTTGAGTCGTCGCATTCGTAACTGGCGCTCAGCTATGACTTAAAGCCGGTGATTATCTTTGAATTCGCTCGCGGTGAATGTGCAGTTTTACTACAATTAGCGGTGCGTGGAGTATCAGCTGAGTTATACTTTAAGAAAATTATACTAGAATTCTTTCTTAAACTATATATAATGTAATACGAATTCTCGTGTGACTTTAATTTTGTGTGTGACAATTTTGAAAAAAAGCTTTGGTGATGTGTGAAGATAGCGGCGCTTCCACAATGTATGAGTTTAATTTAAAAAAATATATATTTTTTAATAATCATGTGGTCTACTATAAGTTATGTACATATGTTATAATTTATATATTTAATGTGGGTACAATTTTTTTTATGAAGCATAATAAATTAAGAGAAGTGATGGTTTTTTAATCTTTCTAATATTCTATTTGTTGTTAGTCCGTGACGTTAAAGAATCGAATGTACATACATACATATGTATACATAAACATAAAATATGTGGGTGTCAACTACTGCGAATTTTTGATGAAACTATTTTCTTTATAGAAATATTTGCCACTATATAATCGAGGAAACCAAAAAAAAAGAAATATTTTAGTTTATAATAAAAACCAAAAAATATACATACATTCGTTTAAAAATCTGCCACATTGTCCAAAAGTTTCCACCCCAACAATAGTATTTGGGAACTAAATGCATATAAGTTGCTCGAACTGAAACCTTTATTTTTGATCTGCAAATTTGAATAATATAATTGTGAAAAAAAGATGCGAACAACGTAATTTTCGGTTGTATAAAACCTTACATAAAAGTTTGAAGTCAGTTCAAAATGTGTAAACAAATAGGCGGATTACATTAATTTACAACTAAATAAGTCGACTAGTCGTTTTCGAAATATAACCACATAACAATTTCTAGACGTTTTTTCAAAGAAATTCCCAAAATGTCGTTTATCGGTTAAATGAATTTTTCATTTCAAATAGGCACCCGAAATTTAGACGTTAACTGCCAAATGACTGCCACCATGAAACATGGTATTACGAATGATAGTCACGAAGGATTGTTGCGAATTTTTTTTTTTCAAAAATTCGGGATTAAAAATTGAAAAAATTTAAATTTTTAATTCAGATTCTGGCTTGAAATTTTCAAATTTTTAATTAAGATGTTTGGCAGAAAAGGAGAAAAAAGAAAGATTTACATATTTCTTGCTGCAATACTTTAATTAATAGCAATTAAATGTAAATAAGACAAGAGGCGAAATCGTGTTGATATTTATTAAAAATGACTTTTCTTTCGAAGATAACCAAATGGTAGAACAGATATATATATTATACTTTTAATCCGGTATTTGTATTAAAATTTATTATTTATTACATTTATTTTGTTAATCCATTATTTGGATTAGAAATTTTAAATATTTTGATGGTGGGATTACAAGAAAATAAAAATTAACAAGGACCCCACTCCGCTACATTGCTCACTATATTATATTAAACACACTTCTCACCGCAAAAAATTCTCGGTTGCAAAATAATAATTTTGTTCGCCTTTATTGCACAAAAATATTACAATTAGTTGCTGCACTTTCATTCACGAACACAGTTTTTCGTTAATAACATTCTGCGTTAAAGGAAAATGAAAATTACATTTATTACTGCGGTTTGTTGTTACACGTATACAAATAATTTTCATTGCTTATTATTGACATGATTTTTACCTAGAACACTCGATGGTGTAAACAACGAAAAATAATAATATATTTCCTCAAAGTTCATGTAACAGATGCCAAACAAAAATTTAAACCACATACCTAACCTGCCACCCAAAAATACCAAGGAAGTAATTTGTTTGTTTATTCAGAAACAAAAATTAAAATTGAAAATTCTAATGAAAAAGTTATAAAATTTGCATTGAACCATGCTCTGTGTTATTACTTTTCTTGCTTTATTGTTGTGCCACCCATTAAGATCATCATAATAATTACATCATTATTAGCTGAAATAAGTAGGTGTGTTTATACAATTTCAAACGTGTGATCACA